CAAGATCTTTTTCTTTGGATTCATTTTTGAAGCCTTCATTTCTTTGAAATCTTTTTCCTCTATTAGACCTTATGAATCTCTTGAATCGTTTGGAAAACATTTACATCATTTCAACTTCATCATTTGAACCACTTTCATCTTTGGTAGATTTAAATACAATGTCAACCCTCTCCTTCTCTATTTATTTATTTTCTTCATTTTTTTGTTGCTCTTTTTCTCCTTTCACCATCATATCATGATTAAATAAAGATCAAATGAGCTTGTCTAGAGTGTGAGCCTTTAGATTTTTACTTAAACTATGACGGTTTTCTTGGACTGCCATGATTTAGGAAGGTTATATATAATCTTTCTAACCAACTTTTCATTTGTGATGATCTCTTCAAATTTTTTTAGGCCATTGTTTATAACTAAAATTTATCGATCATAGTTTTGATGTCTTCATTCGGTCTCATCTTGAAGCTTTCATAATTATGATTGACAAGAATAATTTTAGTTTCTCTTACCTCATTAGTTCTTTCATGCGTAACTTGAAGCTTATCTCAAATTTCCTTGGTATTGGAACAAGATGACACTCTCCTATATTCATCGTGGTCAAGTGCTTGTTTTACTTGGAGTAGTATGATAAGTCATCATTATGCTACATGCTCCCAAATTGCTTGCTTTAATAAATAACATCATTATAATCTTCCAATATACATAGTTGACTCCATTGAAGTATGGGCTTGTTGATAGGAGAAGAATTACTAACAATGTCAAAGTCTGAAGTAGATATCATGGTATACTTGAATGACGATTGAATTCTTCTAAGATATTCTCAAGAGGTGATTAAATCTTACAATGAGTTTAGCTATGATACTAATTGTTGAGTTAATCAAATGAAGAAAATAGCCAAGAAGATGTGAATTGACAATTAAAAAAATTGGTGGAAGCAAATAAAAAGATTGAACACAAAAATTTAAGGTGATTCAACTTTCTTAACCAAAGTCTACATTCACTACCTTAACTATTCATACTAAGAATTTTCACAAAATCACTAATTTGTAGCAACCTTTGAGGATAAGGTGTAACCGTACAACTCCTTCAATAATTATACCTTAAAATTCTTAAGACAATATCTCAAAGAGAAAAGTAAAAATTGCAAACTTAGAAAAATCTCACAAGGAAAAATGTTTGCTAAGTTCTAGAGTAAATAAGAACACATCAAAAATAAATAAATAAATAAAAGTACAAAAGTGTTCTTTGAAAACAAAAGGAATATTTGATAATATTAACTTGGATTTGGCTCTATTTGATTGCTTTACCTTTTTTTGTGATCTCTTTCTTCTTCACATATGACTTTGTATCTTGCTTTATACTCTTTCATCCAATTCTAGTTGTTCATATAGTTGTGGGAGTTAATAGAGACGTTAGGATAAAGTTTTCCTACAATAAATGTTGCCTAGACGCTTGAAGTATCGATACTCAAGCTTGGAATATCGATACTACCTTAATTAATTTAAAAAATATAGTCGTTGGGGAAAGATGAGTACCAATACTGATTAAAGGAATATCGATACTGTTGAAAATATTTTGATATTTCGATATAACAAATTAAGTTAAATGAATTTTAAGATTTTCCAAATGATTTTCTAAGTATATTCGATATAATTATTCGAATATCAAAACATTACTCCAAATATTTCAAAAATCATTTTTAATCCTTACTTAAGTGTAAAATTAAGTTTTAATCTTAAATCAATTTCAAAATAATCTTTCAAAGTATTTCGAACCATTTCAAAGCCAAAAATTCCAGATTGCTCAGAGGGAACCGATTCCCCCCCAAGGGGGTACTGATTCCCCCCTGAACGGTTTGGCTCCGAGATTTCCAGAATGCTCGGAGGGAACCGATTCCCCCCATAGGGGGTACCGATTCCCCCCTGTTCAACGGTCGAAATATTTGAATTTTACACTTAGGGAACCGATTCCCTATGAGGGGGAACCGATTCCCCCCACGCTCCAAGCTGTTTTATTAATTGTTTTCACACTAAAACGGCTATATGATCTTCACTAATCATCCCCAACGTTCAGAAGTGATTCAAGGTGTATTTAAACAAGTTCTGAAGCCCTTGATCAACAAGAAATCATAGAGAAACAAGAGAGAAAGCATCAAACACCAAGTTTGTGCAAATCAAGCCAATTTTCCTTTCAATATTCATTTTGCTTTCAAGAACACCATTTGTGCTCATTTGTAATTATCTTTGAGTGTTCTTTTCTTGTTCTAGAATTGTGCAAACATCTTACCTTGTGAGGTTTTCCTTGTAAGTTTACAAATTTGTAATCTTCTCTTTGGGAAAGAGTGTTCTCAAGAATTGGGGTATATTCTTGAGGGTGTTGTAAGGTTATCTCTTTGGCCTCAAAAGAAAGAACAAATTAGTGAATTTTTGGAAAATCCTTAGTGTGGATAGCTAAGGTAGTGGATGTAGACTTTGATTGAGAAAGTCGAACCACTCTAAATCGCTGTGCAATTACTTTCAATTTTCTGCAAAAGCTTCCACCAAATTTTTAATTGCCAATTCACCCCCTCTTGGCCAATTCCGTCAATCGATTAACTCAACAGATACCACTAGTATAAGTAGTATCGATATTGGATGAGTATCGATACCAAAATATCTTACTACAAGTTTTCATCTTTTAAAATCATAAGGGTAGTCTAGGTACTACCAAATGATGTATATCTATACTACTTTTATAAGTAGTGCCCATATTGCATGAATATTGATATTGCACGAATATCGATACCAATTTTGCTTACTATTTTCGCAAAATAAAAGGAGTCTCGTATTATCTTAAGCAGTGTCGAAACTATTGTGTATTTTTAAGCTTTTAACATCTATAATGCATCGAATTAAAAAGAATAATGAAGAATTATAGAGTTTTTAACATTAAAAAGAATTTATATATTTGAATGATTAAATTAAATATAATCTTAAAATTTATTAAAATATTAATTATTTTTTATATCAAAATTTGTTCAAGAGAATAAAATACTCGAATCAAATTTTAATACACTCAAATCTAGGGGTGTGCAAAATTACCCGACCCAGTTGACCCGACCCGTCGACCCGGATCTAAAAAAACCGGGTAATTCTTTAAAAAAAATTACCCGGCCGGGTCGGGTACCCGGCCGGACATTTCCCGGGTCGGGCCCAGGTCACAAAATCTAGTTTTTCCGGGTACTCGGGTAACCGGGTACCCGGTTAGTTTTTATTTTTTTTTATTTTTTTATATATAATTATATAAAATATAATGAATTATTTATATTATGGATTATTATATTTTGTATTTTGAACTTTTAAATTTTATGTTCGGATATTAGAGTATGTAATTCGAAGTTTTGAACATTTAAATTTGTGTATATATTTTTTTAAATTAATAATTTAAAAAAAAATTAAAAACCGGATATCGGGTACCCGATTACCGGGTACCCACAAAATCCGGATACCCGATTACCGGGTACCCGATTACCGGATACCCGTAACATCAGGGTCGGGACACGGGCCGAGAAATCGTCAACCCAAAAATTCCGGGTACCCGAATTTGTACACCCCTACTAAAATCCAATCCAACTCGGAATATCCATAATTGTGCATCTTATTGTCGTACAGAGAGTGTTATGTCTGCTTTTTAATGGAGGGATAACATATAGTATTATTAGCATTTTAAAAAACTTTATATTTTAAGATAGTAAAAGAAATTCAAATATTAAAATATAAACCTAATAAAAGTATTATTAGTAGGGTTTTAAATTGTAATTATGGTTATATTTTTAATTATTTTTAGTTTATCATGATTGTGATCGTCGCGGATGTTATTGAACTATTATGGGTGTAACGGATAACTTAGATGACGATAAAATCACTATATCACAGGTAAAATCACGTTTTCAAAACGTTTTTGTAGACCCTGATGGGAAGTGACCAATAGAAAATAACCGTCTTTTGCTTTGTTTGTGGGTAATAAAGTATTGGGTTGCGATTGTATCATCGCCGACGATTTTGACTCAATGATATGTACCTTTTTATTTCTTTATCCAATACCCACGCTTTCTCTCTGTCCCTTTGTATCACTTATTCCTTTTCATTTTAAAGGACAATGATAGGTCTAATCTTTAATATTTATATTTTCCGTCAATTTAGTTTACCTTTATACAAAATATTAATTAATATGTCATTTTGTAATTTTAATATTGTGATGACTACTTTTAACACTATTTATTTTATATTTAATAAAAAATAATTTTAAAAATATACTAGTATTCAAAAAATTACTAATGATATGGTAAAGGTACAATATCATATAAATTATCGTGTTTGTACTAATAAAAGTTTAATATTTTAATTTCAATAAAAATAATATTTTTTTCCAAAAATTTGACATTGTAAATAATGTAAATTAAGTTAGCAGAGTTGCATCATAATAAGTCTCTACAGAATTCATTCATATTATTTGATCAAAAGATAGAATAATAATAATAAAATAAAAATAATATAGCTTTTTTAAAAGATTAATATTAAAATTTGATATCTTTTAAAAATTAAGAATTAAGTTTAATTAAAAATAAACCTAATTTTTAAGAAAAAACTAAATTACAGTTATGCTTTAATGTTACTATAATTCAATTATATTGAAAAATATATATATGTAAGGATTTCAAATGATAATATTTTAATAGATTTTACATCATTTTAAATTCAGATTAGTTATTTCTAATACAATCATTGTCTTTGTACTGTGTAGCTGATGTATTCCCAACAAAAATGTAATTTTCTTTTATCCACGCCACTTATAAATGTGAGTTTCACCACCGATGCGCCTAAATAATTATTGATTACCAAAAATGATAAGAGAGGTAATTATTAATTCAGCGAAATTAATCTCACCCTCCCGTGATTCACTGCTAATTGCCGTTCCTACGAACTTGGTCTTCCTTGACCTGTTGTTTAAATCCAGTCTCAGTAGCCATATTTTCTCATTATCTTTCTTTTTTTCATTCAGCTCAAACAGTAAAAACTTTCTTCTCCAAATGAACTTCATCATCTACCCTTGTTCTTCATCTATCATGCCATGTTTTCCAGTTGAAGAGACAAGGGATTTTTGCTGCTCAGCAGCCTCATCAGTGGTTTCTAAACTATTTTATGCAATTTTCATCTTCATTTTTGCCGTGGGTCAGTTCCCCCCCCCCTTTGTTTTACATTTTCGCTTCAATTCTAAAATTAATCCGAATCTGGAAATTGATATGCAGTTGGAGCAACTTTGGGGGCCGTCACCGGAGCTTTTGTCGGGGTAAAAACAAAGATGGGTTTTATTCCCGGAGTCGCAATCGGAGCCATAAAGGGTACTATTTTGTCCATCAAGTTGTTGAAAATTTCACTCATAATTTGTAGTTCCAATGATTTGGCGTTGGCAACGAGGTATCTTCTCCTCCAGCCGGTAAGATTCCTAAACGTCATTATTTGGAAGGATAAAATGAATAAACGATGACGATTATAAAATATTATTTTATTAAGTCTAAAATGACATTTTGATAATATAATATTATTTTATTAAGTTAAAAGTTATAGGATAAAAAATAGATAATTGTCGAGTTAGGCGTTAATTTGATAAAATATGATCACATAATTATTTGAATTGTATTTTGTGGATTGATTCTTTATTTATATTATATTGTCATATAAGTACTTGAAGTATTATATCACCAAGTCAATACTTGAAAGCAACGAAAATGCTCGAATACATCTTTAAAATGTTATTTTATCATATCTTAGAAAAAAGATTAGTGCTAAACTTAGACAAACCTCAAAAAATTTTAACAAAAAATGATAAATTTAAAATATATGAACAGTAAAATAATAATTTTATAACTTTTAATAGTAAGAGACTAAACAAAAATCTTCTTATAATTAAAAGATTATTTTATAACTTTTAATACACTCAATAAAATAGTCCCTATAATCTTCTTATAATTAAAAGATTATTTTATAACTTTTAATACACTCAATAAAATAGTCCCTATAATCTTCTTATAATTAAAAGACTATTTTATAACTTTTAATACACTCAATAAAATAGTCCCTATAATCAAAGGATCATTTGTGAATTTGGAAATCCATGTCTCAAAAGGCTATTTATTTGTTGGTTTTGGGTTTAGATAAACGTATATGAGTCTGCTACATTGATCCAAGTCTCCTTGAACGAAGGGTTGTCAAAGGATTCCATGGAAAATATTCCAAAATTGAGAATCACAGAAGAAAACATATGGGATTCATTGAGGAGCAGAAACCCATGTTCGATTTGCCTTGAGGTTTTGATTTTCCCACTTTTGTTTTTCAATTCATCAAAGATTGGTTTCCATTGATGGTGGGTTTCAAATTTTGCAGGAATTTTTACAGTGGGATACTGTTAATAGGTTGCCGCAATGTCACCATATGTTCCACGTTTCGTGTCTTCAAAAGTGGGCGAAAACCCATAATTCTTGCCCTTTATGCAGGAGACATTTTTGACCACTCTTGTAGTACAAGCTTCCACTAACTAGGAAATCAGAATTTCTGTACATACCGCTCTAATGTTTGATTCCTTTCTGATGGTATAATTTTCATTTGTAATTTAGGGTTGGTTTGTTTAATTGTAATTAGTTCTCTGAAAATTGAATTATAGAAAATGAATTACATTTATGAAAAATATTTTCTAAAAAAACAGTTTATAATATTTGAATGATGCATTGTAAAATGTTTTACACTGTTTGGTTAGTTTTCCTGAAAACAATTTACGATTTTTTTTTTTGTAAAAATGTATATATTTTTATATTTTTCTTGTTATTTACATTTTAATTTTTTAAGTTATTTTTATAAAATTGTATTTTATAAAATTTTGAAATGAAATGTTTTATTTGTATAAGTACACGAAATTAAATTTGTAGATAATATAATAATTTATGTTGATTGTGTTATAAATACACAATTTTAGGTTTGAAGTATTCATGATACCTTATCTATTAGCATTTTTAAAATTAAATTTTAACTCATAATTAATATTATATGTAGGTTTAATTGATATAATCTTGATAATGTATTAAAATATATTATCAAAGTAAATAATTAAAATTACATTATTATTATTAAAACAACAATAGTATATCATATTGAAATAATAATAATATTTTCAAAGTGTTTAATTAAAACTACACCACATTAAGATAATGATATTATCCAACCAAAATAATACTAAAGATATTGTATGATTCATAACTAGTGCTACAACACATTAAAGCTTAAATATTGTCTAAGTCATAAATAGTAGTATTCCACATTAAAAGTTCACATCCTAACTTTGAGGAAACTTTTGAAGCCAATTTTCCTATGTTTTGTTTTTTTTGCCAAGAAAACTTTGGCCTCCAACTCATTTTTCGCTAAAAATCGAACACCTCACAAAGAAAGTCGTCAACAAATCCTTCTTTCTCCATTGACATAACTTCTTCAATGGTTTCTGATCCTCTGTAAAGTTTTTTAGTGCTTCAGCAATCTCACCAAATTTCTCACCTACAAAATTAATATGATCATCCTTGACATTTTCTTGGACATTCATCCTTTTACATTTTGATGTACCAGATGAAGATAATTTTGTTTTTTCCTCATCGATATTTTGAGTGTCGAAATTTAACGACATTGAATCTTCATTAACATCATCCAATTCTATATCAACAAAGGTTCTAGCAAAACTCTGTGTTGTCATAACTTGACCAACAACAAGAGCCATCTCATCATAAGAATCAATTTTTTTGTTCAAAAATGTTCCAAATTTTTTGTGTGCCTGTTAAATATTATACACAATTAGCATAAAAAGTAAAATTCAAATATCATTTATTAAAATAAGTATATAAAGATTACCGTCACTATAACATCATATGTTCATTCGTCACAAGTTATCATTTTCAAGTTCTCGTCTCACCCTAATCCACTTTCTTCACGAATCGTACATATAGTTTTCCATGTATTTTTTATAGTCCTCAAATGATTTTTCACGTGTTTGGTGGCACATTGGGTTTGAAATCTTTCGGAAATAGCTGTAGCAACTTGATTTATAGAAACTGCTCTAAATGTATTAGATGACTTATTACCTTTTTACGACTCCTCTGCAAGTATTTCGAGAAAAAGAAGTTCCATTGGTTTTTTTCACCTAAAATGTTTTGATGTGCTCTACATTAATAATCATAAAAAATAGGAAGTAATTAGACTACTAACAAACATAAATTATCCAACAATTATGTAACAATTTGTAATATCAACATTCAGGGAAAACCAAGCACCTAATACATAATACACCAAGCATTCAACTCACAAGCATATGTAAATGTCCAACAAACGTAAAACATAACATTTATAAAACCAACAAACTTAAAAACAATAATTTCAACATCTAACAAATTATATTCAAAGTTCAACAATCTAAAAACATTATCAATTTCAATATCCAACAAACTAAAAACAACAGTATCCAACACACGTAACGTAGAAATACTGAAAAAATATTCTAAATAAAATTAAATGTTTCTATGTATATAATCACTCCACATAGCTTGTGCAATTTCATCTCTCTTAGTAGCCCATTCTCTAGCTTCTTCCTTCTCTTCTCGTTGTGTAAGAGTTGATGTTATCGAATGAGGCTCGTGTTCCTCATATAATTCTTTGTTAATTAAATCATTAGGATCAACTCCCATTATATGATTATGTGTGATAGTACAAGCCAACACTACATCTACTTGTGTTTGAAAATCCTAAAATTGTTCAGCATCCAACACGTGAAAACGTTTTTTTAAAATTCCAAATACTCGCTCAATAGTGGTTCGCAATGATGAATAACGAAGATTAAACAGTTCCTTTGCATTTTCTAGACCATGATTGTTGAATTCTTTTAAATGATATCTAATACCACGATATGGAGAAATAATTCCATTTCGGATGCCATATCCAGCATCAGCAAGATAATATTTACCTACAATTTGACAAAATGTTATTATTACTTAATATATTATGAATTTAATTTAATTATTTTTTTATTTTAAAGCTAAGTATTACCTTCTGGAATACTAAATCCTCTTCGGCGTGTAAATGGATAAGTTAAAACACGAGAATCATGCGCACTACCTTTCCAACCAACTAGAACATAAGTAAATTTTAAAGAGAAAATCGCCTCAGTGACCAAAAAAAAGTTATAATATACGATTTTAACCAACTTTTTTTGGATTTGCCAAAATGACCAACAAAATCGCAACGCGAAATAAAAATCGCAACGCGATCCCCAGAATCGCAAATCAGTTTCCAGAATCGCAAATCAGTTTCCAAAATCGCAACGCGATTCTTGAAAATCGCGATGCGATAGTACAAATTCGCATTGCGATTTTCCAAAATCGCAACGCGAATATGAAAATCGCAACGCGAACACATAAATCGCAACGCGTATCCGTAAATCGCAACGTGTATCCGTAAATCGCAACGCGTATGGGTAAATCGCAATGCGTATCCGTATATCGCAACGCGTATCCGTAAATCGCAACGATAATACATAAAATCGCAACGCGTATCCGTAAATCGCAACGCGATATTTAAAGCGCCATTATAATCGCTACGCGTATTTTATTTTCAAATTACAAAAAGAATATTAAGACAAAATCCCGTAATCGCAACTCATAACCTAAAACCTAAAATCACAACTCAGTCCCATCTCCATCTCTCACTCTCTACGGCGAAGAAATCCGTCCCCATCTCCGAAGATTTCCGTCCCCATCTCCGGCGAAATCCCTCACAACCATTCACGGTCAGAAATCCCTCACAATATTCAGAAATGGAAAATCAACCTCCGAGGGTTAGTTTTTTAATTATTTTTATTTTGAAATGTTTGCATTATTGTAGGTTTCTCATATTGAAACTGATGATAAGTTTACTGGTCATTTCAATAATAGATTAACCATTTCACTTAGATTTCATTTCGCGTTACGATTCTGTCGTTGCGATTTTCATTTCGCGTTGCTATTCTCTCGTTGCGATTTTCAAGTTAGTATTTGTCTTTGTCTTTGTTCTGTCTTTTGGTTGAAGTAATGCAATCCATTCAAGTTTCAATTTGCAGAAGAGTCGCAACGAGATAAATGAAAATCGCAACGAGAGAATGACTGTCGCAACGAGAGAATCGCAACGCGAAATGGAAATCGCAACGAGAGAATCGCAACGCGAAACCAAAATCGCATTGCGATTTTCATTTCGCGTTGCGATTCTCTCGTTGCGATTTTCATTTCGCGTTGCGATTCTCTCGTTGCGATTGTCATCTCGCGTTGCGATTCTCTCGTTGCGATTTTCATTTCAACCAAAAGACAAAACAGTGTTGCAAATTTTAGTTTCAAGAATAAACTACTACTTTTTATGTTTATTGTTTTTGGTATATCTTCACAGTGTAGTTTTGGTATATCTAACTTGGTATGTTTATTGTTTTTGTAGAAATTTTTTTCGGCTCAATTGACCTTGAGAAATAAAGTCAGCCTGGCCACTACAATTGCAAAGAAGCTTTCACCTGCTCAAAGACAATTGTTTGAGGAAACCTGCTTCGGGCCATGGCTGAGAGTACAGCATCCGGGTGGAGATGCTAATTTGACCCATTTGTGGCTTCAGACCATGACATCAAATCTACCCGACAGTATACAACGTGGTGAGGAAGAGATATGGTTTCATTTTCCACCAGCGTATACTTGCTTTGGGCGGAAGGAGTTCTGCTTAATCACTGGTCTACGATTCGGACACGATGATGTAGGCCGGTACACTCGTCATATCGCCCGCCCATCATGGTTATCCCGGGTTTTTCCGGATGAGTCAATGGAGAAGCCGAACCTACATGTCGACGACCTGAAGAAATTATTTAATAAGAAAGCTGGTTTCACTCGGATGGAAGACGTCGATGTTGTCCGAGTATGCCTTCTACTACTTGTGTATGCCGGCTTTTTAGGCAGAGAGGCCAGACAACCTATTCATCGGGAGCTAATAATATTGGTAGAGGACCTGAATGCATGGAATCTGTTTCCGTGGGGTTCGTATATATGGAAAGCTACCTGGACTAAGTTGTCGTCTGCCTTTGATGACCGCAAAAGTTTGCGGGGCGATGGGTCCAAATACACTTTGTCAGGCTTTGTTTGGGCCTTTAAGGTAAGAATTTCTATATAATGTTTCTAAAATTATAATTAATTATTTAACAATTACTAATTTTGTTATTATATTGTTTGTAGATTTGGATATTCGAGGCTTTCCCCAGCATGCGTACATATGCAATAAAAACGTCAAATGATATTCCCAGGGCTATTTCCTGGAAGAGGAAAACTCTGTTGGATTGGGAAGACTTAATACCATATGCCACAATAAATAATGTAAGTTAACACAAATACTTTCATATAATATATAAACAAGTTATTAATAGTAGACGTTTAACTTTGTTTGAGTTTTTATATTTTAGGAGGCCAACATTCCATTACAAAGACTGTCACCCACGGAGGAAGAGCTTGCCACTGATTGGTGGCAAGC